TTAATTGTTATTCAAATACTGAATATCTTCACCTGGTTTTCATGTCATCGTGACCATTCCATTTCTGTGAGAAATGTGTTAATACCTTACACTGTTATTATTGAGTTGTTCGCATTGGATTTTTAATACATTTTTCTTTACATATTTTTAAGTATGTTTTGGGTATACAAAAGTTCATCATTATTATATTTCTTGGTGGATTAGAATTTTTATCAAAATGAAAGGGTCATTGATCCATTTAATGGTTTGCTAGTTGTTAATATATATTTTATCATTTTACAGCATCTATCATATATATTTTACTAACCTGTTAATTAATACATATCTCTATTAAATTCTTTTTTTTAAATGTGACTCTTGAAAATAACATTTGACTGATTTTTTTTCTTAGTATGCTAAGACAAGGTTACAAAGTAGGGCTGAAATAGTATTCATTAAAATATTCTATAGGTACGTTTAGGCCTCTGGGATCTCTCTCTACGCCACCTCCCAAAAGACTTATAATTATCTTCGGACTCTGGCAGATGGCTTAGGTGCTATCACAGAACAGCTAGGTCCCCACCTGACTATTCCACAGTGAAACCTATCATTTATTAATTCCTACACACACCAAGAAACTTAGAGATAGCATTTCAGTGCCTCGTTCATTAGGTTTTTTTATTAAGAGAAAATAGTATAACAAATACCCATTAACACAAATTCAAAAATTACCAAGATTTTGTCACATGTTCTTTTCTTTTTTGTTTGCTGAATTTAAGGCAAATCCAAGACTGTATGTTCTTTTCATCTCTATTTACTTCAGTGTGATGTGCCATTTTCTTACATAATAATATTATTATTATGCCCAAATTAGCAATAGTTCCAGGTTTTCATCTGATTCCCAGCTCATAATAAATTTTTCTCAATTTTTAAAATTCTCATCTGAGGACATGCTTATTGATTTTTAGAGAGAGGGGCAGGGAGGGAGAGAAGGAGAGAAACATCAGTGTGAGAGGGAAACATGGATCAGCTGCTCCCGATATGCACCCCTACAAGGAACCGTACCCACAACCTAGGCATGTGCCTGACCAGGAGTTGAACCTGCAACCCTTCTTATGGATGATGCTCCAACCAACTGAGCCATACTTGCCAAAGCTCTCAATTCTTAAATTTTATTTTTACAGTTTACTTGTTTGAATCTGGTTCTATACAAGATCCACATTGTCACATTTGATTGTCACTTTTTTTGCTTCTCTTTTATCTGGAACCAACGCCCTTTTTCTGTTTGTCATCATTAACTTGTTGTAGAAACTGGACTAGTTGTCCTTGAAATGCCTCATTTGTGAGTATAAATAGACAACAAAGAATCTTCAGACTTTTTTCATGGCTATAATTTTATTTTATTTTAATTTTTTAAGTTTTCTTTTTCAATGACAGTTGTCATTAAATATTATTTTATATTAGTTTCAGGTGTACAGCATAGTGGTTAGACAACCATATAATTTACAAAGTGATCCTTACTAGTTCAAATGCCCACCTGGCACCATACATGGTTATTGCAGTATTATTGACTATATTCTTGTGTTTTACTTTACATCCCTGGGACTCTTTTGTAACTACCAATCTGTACTTCTTAATCTCTTCACATTTTTTTACCTTGCCCACTAATACCCTCCCCTCTGGCAATCATCAGTTTGTTCTCTTATATCTATGAGTCTGTTTCTGTTTAGTTTGTTTTGTTCTTTAAATTCTGCATATAAGTGAAATTATGTGGTATTTTTCTTTCTATGTCTGCCTAATTTCACTTAGCATAATACTTTTTAGGTCCATCCATGTTGTTGCAAATGGTAAGATTTTATTGTTTTTTATGGCTGAGTAATATTCCATTGTATATATGTACCATTACTTTTCTATCCACTCATCTGTTGGTGGGCACTTGGGTTACTCCCATACATTGGCTATTATAAATTACACTGCAATGAACATAGGGGTGCATATGTTTTTTCAAATTAGGGTTTTGGGTCTCTTTGGATATATATCCAGAAGTGGAATTACTGGGTTGTAAGGCAGTTCCATTTTTAATTTTTTGAGGAAACTACAAAGTGTTTCCTGCAGTGGCTGCACCAGTCTGCATTCCCACCAACAATGCACAAGGGTTTCTTTTTCTCCACAACCTTACCAACCCTCGTTTGTTGATATATTGATGATAGCCATTTTGACAGATGTGAGGTGATGTCTCATGTGGTCTTAATTTGTATTTCTTTGATGATTAGTGACATTGACCATCTTTTCATATGTCTTTTGGCCATCTGTATGGCCTCTTTGGAGAGGTGCCCATTCAGGTCCTCTGTTCATGTTTATATTAGCTTGTTTTTTGTTTTGTGTGTGTGTGTTGAGTTATATGAATTCTTTATATTTTGGATATTAACCCCTTATCAGATGAATCATTTGTGAATATCTTCCCCCATTTACTAGGTTGTCTTTTCATTTTGTTTATGGTTTCCTTTGGTGGGTAAAAACTTTTTAGTTTGATGTAGTTCCATTTGTTGTTTTTCTTTTGTTTTTGATATATCAGAAAACAATATTGCTAAGAGGAATGTCAGAGAGTTTACTGCCTATGTTTTCATCTAGGAGTTTTACAGTTTTGAGTCTTACATTTAAATAAGGACCTTCACATTTTTAAGGGGGGCCTCAAATGTGAAAGAAAAAAAAGAAAAACAAAGGAAAAAAATGCAGTGAGCTGAAGGAAACTTTAAAAATACACTATACTTGATATCCTCAAAAAGATAAGAAATTGTATCCATGAAACAAGAAAATGGCATAGTAAAAAATTTACCTTTAATTACTAAGAATTCTAATTAAAATATGATAACTGAAATTAAAAATTTTAGGCAGGATGAAAGATAATGAAAGTAGAAAAAATGTTAAAATTGATAAGATGGCCAAGAAAGTTTAAGAAAATCAGAAGATATCTCCAGGCAGTCTCACACTCAAAACAAAAGTATTCAAAAGAAAGCAGAGAAAATGGAAGGTGAGGGAATTACTGTGTTTCTCCTAGGGGAGAATTCTTGAAACTGAAAAGGATCAGTTTTCAAAGTGAATATCATGTGCCCAGCACAGAAAATGACAAAAGACTAACATGATGATGTATTTCGATAAAATTTATGATACAAAGTGAAATAGGAAACATTTTAAAGCTTCTAAATTGAGGTAGGCCATGGTGTGGGGAGGGCCTACCATGTATCAGACACAGAAGCAGGAATCAAAATGACATTGGACTTCTCAGAAGCACCACTGGAAGTTAGGAAAACAGTAGAACAGTGCCCTAATTTTCCATTGAAGAACACTTTTCTTACTTGTGATTCTAAATCCAGACAAAGTGTCTAGTCTGATATAAAATAAAGACAGTTTCAGATGTTCAAGATCTCAGATTTACTTCCCATGTGCAAAAAGATCCTGGAGGACTTATTCCACTCAAAGGAATAAACCGAGAAAGGCTTTAGAACCAGAATACAGGTCTCATGTGGAAGAGCCGAGGACAGTACCTGAAACGGTAAGGAAGGGAAGTTCTGGGATGACAGTTGCATGGTCACGCCAGAGCACAAGCAAAACTGGAGCAGGGGAACGGAGCGTTCTGGGAAAGCTGTCTCCTGGAAGAGAAATGATAAGGAAGGATCATGTGCTGTGTCGGAAGGTACTGAGAGAGGAGCACTACACCTGTCAGATTCAGAAGTATCAGTGATAGGTACAAAGAAAACTGAGAAAGAAGAAAGCAGATGGTTTTAAATCCAGGGACAACAAAAATAGTTGTACAAGAACAGAAATGTGATTATGGTATAACATGTGGCTCATTAGTGAAGAATGATGTAATTACTGAATTAAAAGATTGCTTTATATTGGGAGGATGAGGGGAGAATGCTGTGTGTGTATAGGTGTGTGGATATGTGTAGGAATGTCAGCCTTTTTTAGGATTGTGGCAGAGACTGCTGGCTGCCTACCCTAACATTCATTCTCCCTCCCTCCTTAGTAATGGAAATGTGGAAGTACGGGCATGTCTGGGAACTAATCTTTCCAGTTAAAACACTACATTTCCTACCTGCCCTTACAACTAGGTATTGACCTGTGTCTAAGTTTAGCAGAAGTATTCAATGGCACTTCCAGGAAATCTTAAAAGGCATAGAGTGAGCCATTATTCTCTTCCTGCTGCTGGTCTGGAATGGAAAAGTAATTGATGGTGTTTCTGCCATTATCATGGTCTATGAAGATAAAATACACACCAAAAATGTAGAACAGAGAATTGGAGGAATCCTGAGGCCCTGGTGACACTATACAGCTATCATATCAACATCAGACTGGCTACCAGTGCATTTGTTTTATGCAATATACCCTCCTGTCTTAAGCCATTGTATTCAGGTCTCAGTTGTGTATGTGTAGCATAACCAGATCTGAACTGACTTGTAACTCACTAGATAATATCTCAAATGAAATATTAATAATAGTATAAGCATGTTATTTAGCAATATAGAGGTAAATACTGTAAACAAAAAAATTCAAAGCACAGTAGTTTTGGGCAGTGGAAATTGAGGTAAAGGCAAATGATTAACAATTTTTTTCTTGTAACTCTTTAATCCAATAATATTTGACATTTCAAATTATGTACATATCTTACTCTAATAAAAATAAATTGATATTTCTTTAGTCACATTTAAATTAGTATTTCAAGTAAAAATACGTGTTCATTGTAAAAATTCAAACAGTACAAAAGATAGAAAGTAAAAGTCTTGCCTCCCATCTGTTTTTTTGCCTTTCCCCTGCCCATCAGTTCTGCTGTCCTCCCCAAGGGTGATGGATGTTTGACACGTGTCTCTCCCTACTTTTCTATATGCTCATTCAGCAGATATAGAGATGCATAGTTTTTGTCTTTTATTTATTTTTTATTAAAAGTGTATTTAAATATTAATTTGAGTGTACACATGAGAATATTTAGGCTTGTAATGGATGTTATTTGTTTATATTTTTAGAATTCAAGCTGAAAGCATGCATTTAAAAAGTCAGCAAAATGAATTTCAAAGAGTACAGAAAGAATTGAGTCATTTGCAACAGCAGTTAAAAATTAAACAGAGACAATCACAAGTCTGCAGGTAAGATTATCTTGAAATACTTGGAAATTATAAAGATTGAAAAGATACATTCAGTAGTAGCTTTATAAATATTCAAACACAGTATAGTAGAGTTTCTATATTTGGTGTGGTTGAAAAATGTGTAAACAACTGCACTTTTTAAGACTGTTATCACAACTTAATAGCTTTACCAATAAAATTTAAATCAGGCAAACATGTTCTTATTTCTCAGTGACATTTAGATTGAAAACACAGTAACTAATACATTTTCCTTTTGATCAGAGTTTCTTGGTGTATTTGGATCCCCTGGCACAAAAAAATAATAGAATAGGGAAACTTCCTAAATATAGTAATAAAACTGCTAAATTTAGAAATCTCCAGCATAAATGGTATTAATTCTGCTTTTATATAATCTTTGGAGAGTTTATAATACCTAAAGGTAAAACTCAATGTTCTAAAGAAACTAGAAAGTACATTTTCCTTTTCTAAATCTAAAAGGGAATTGAGCCCTGGCTGGTGTGGCTCAGTGGATTGGTCATAGTCCTGCAAACCAAGGTCACTGGTTTGATTCCCAGTCAGGGCACATACCTTGGTTGTAGGCCAGGTCCCCAGTGGTGGGGTGTGTGAGCGGCAACTACACATTGATGTTTCTCTCCCTCTCTTTCTCCTTCCCTTCCCCTCTCTCTAAAAATAAATAAATAGAATCTTTAAAAAGGGAATTGAAGAGAGAATATATGAAAGAATTAATTTATGAATTGAGTAACTTTTAACTCTTAGGAAAGGGAAATAAGTTAAATGAACGTTACAAATAGGCACAGGTTCAGGGTGACTAAAATATATGTGTAGGATGAATATTTTAAACATTAGGTTTTTGGGGTTTTTTTTTTGGTCTACTACTTATTGCCAGATAGATTGTTCTGTTAAAAAAAATTGTCTGCGTTAATAATTTTTCATACACTATCTGGTGATAACCTGCTGGTCATTTACCTTTCATAAATGCCTTCCTCAATAAATAATCTTCTTTTGAGGGAGAGGGGAAGGGCAGGAGAAAGGAGAAAAATATCAGCGTTCGAGAGATACATGGATTGGTTGCCTCTCGTGCACCCCAACTGGGGACCTGGCCCTCAACTCACTCACGTGTCCTGACTGGGAATTGAACTGGCGACCTTTCAGTTTGCAGGCTGCTGCTCATTCCACTGAGCCGCAGCAGCCAGGGCAATAAATAATCTTTGAATAAATGAATGAGTCTACTCACAAAACAGATGACCATCTTTATCTTCAGAAATATCTGCTGTTTCCTAGAAATCTGGTATTGAACCAGCAGGATACCACCCAGGTGAACCCAACTCTCCATTTTAGTCTTGATGATCTGTGTGCAGATTGGCTCCTGTAATAGCTCTGGCCCAAGTCTGCTAAGTAGTCTATATTCACTTTCAGAAGTTTCCTGTTGTGAATCATTCATAAATTTTTTGAAATATAAAGAGCTTATCCTTTAATTTTTCTTATTTATAAATCTATCTATACTTTGTCATCTCTGAAATTTTCCACGCCAAAATTCTGTCTTTCTACTCTGATTTTTTCTCTCTTACACTTCTGGTGTCAGTATGCCATTGGAGCGGTCACAAGCATTGGGGTGGGAGTCTGAGTAAGGGGAAGATGAGTTGGGAATACACCATTATAACTGCCACTTAGACATTTTACAAGGCTTCAATACCACAATTAAGGAATTAAAGACTAACGGTTTGGATGTGTATGAATTTTTAAAAATTAATAGAATAAAAGCAAGAAAGATGAGCATTTTAAACAATAGAAATTATTTTGGCAGAGACAAATTTTGATGATGTTTTTTCATATTATATCAAATAACTTAAGAGAGACACATTTTTGATAAGAGCTCCTAGATTATTTCATAAACCATCCACTGAAGAGGAGTTAATTATTTGAATACATTGGAGAAATATTTGAGTCTCTTGCAGATTTTCCAAAAACTGCCAACATCACTGAATATAACATAAAAGTCATATTATACCACTTCAAGGACATCGAAGATAAACTAGTTCATGAAATTCATTATTTCAAAGATAATTTAAGACTAGTCATTTTCCAAAGAACCTTGAAATGCTAAAAAATTTATAATCATATATGAAAAACATTTGATAAGGAGTTTTCTAAATTCAACACTGCTTAGTATTTACATGACATTACGAATAAACAGTGAGCTATGAAGCTGAAAATATTTTTCTAACCTATGAATAATAAAAAATCAGTGGCCATCTAGATGAAAAGCTGTATTAATGTTTATATATTCTTCATGTAAAATTATTATAAAATGGTTCTCATATGAAGAGGTGAATGTAGAGCATGTAGCCAAAAATTATAGGCAAAAGTGTTACACAGCTGTTATTTATTAAAAAGTTACATTGTATTCCTTATTTTTTGATATTTATGGAATTTATCAACTTAAATATTTTTATTTTTAAATTTAATAATTTTTCTCATTCTATAAAATATTGCACACTTTTAAAAAAAGATTTTGTTTATATTTATTTTTAGAGAGAGGGGAAGAGAGGGAGAAAAGAGGCAAACACTGATGTGTGAAAGAAATCAGTCTGTTGCCTCTTGCTCATCCTCAACTGGGGACCTGGCCTGCAACCCAGGCAAGTGCCCTGACCTGGAATCGAACCAGTGACCTTACAATTTGCAGGCTGGCACTCAATCCACTGAGCCACACACCAGCCAAGACAAATAGTTTCACACTTTTAAACATAATTTTGTAAGTCATCATTTTTGTATTCTTTTTTAAGGAAGCCTTTCTCCCACAAACCACCAATCATATAAGATATAGGCCTTGCAAAAATGGATCTGCTCTTAGCTAACAAGCTTGTATTTTCTGTTTCCTGCCTTTCTCCCTACAGAGAGAGGCACCTGCATCCTCATCCAGTCTGTTCTGTTGAACATCACTTTAGCCCTTGGCTTGCTTCCAGCAGCTGCCTGACACCAGGCCCATTAGCCCCTTAACCTTGACCTGGTTCATAGCTCTTGTCTCCCTGTATTGCCAGTTTCTGGCTCCACATTCAGACTTTCCATCCTCACCTTTGGCCTTCTTCAGTCAGTGATCTCTTTGGATTCTTTCTCTGCTTTTTGAGATCAACATCTCTCCTAGCTAGCTCCCTAGGAGACTGACTGAGGCATTCCCTGTGGCTTCTGATCACTCAGGTGGGCCTTAATTACCACCCAGAATGACACCATACTTCTTTCTGGCAAAGGCTAATCTTTCAGCCTACATCTATTCTTTCTAGGACTTTGCACAAGAAATGAGCACATCTCTTGTCTGTGCTTTTAGCCTCTGTGCCTGCATTCATACTGTGTCCAGCTGTGTACACACATTTGGGTGTCTCCCATTCTTACAAACTATTCTACTCTGTATCTTCCTCTTTCTTGTCTTGCCACCTCAGTCAGTGTTCTTGAATGTTGGTACCACATAGCCCCTGTTTACTCACTTCTGCTTTGCTGTTCAGTCTTTTCTAACTAATGCCTCTCTCTGAGATCACCAAATGCTCCCTTAATAGCAGGTACAATGCACTTTTTTAAAATTTTACTTTTTTTAAAAAGTTTATTTTAATCGTTGTTCAAGTACAGTTTTCTGTCCTTTACTCCCATCCCAGCCCACCCATCCATCCCTCCCCACCTCCCTCCCATTTCCACCCCCGCCCAGTTTTTGTCCATGTGTCCTTTATACTTGTTCCTGTGTACCCTTCCCCTTTTCCCCTGAGATTCCCTTGAAATTCCCTCCCTCTCTCCTCAGGTCACTGTCAGCCTGTCCTCTAGTTCAGTGTCTTAGGTTATATTTTACTTGTTTGTTTGTTTTGTTGATTAGGTTCCTGTTAAAGGTGAGACTGTATGGTATTTGTCTTTCATGGCCTGGCTTATTTCGCTTAGCATAATGCTTTCCAGTTCCATCCATGCTTTGTTCAGTCTTTATCTGGGGCCTTAAACACTTCTTTAAATTCTCTTATCCTCTGGCTTTTCTGATAGTATTATTGCATTTTGTTTTTTTCTTCTAATTCACTGGTTGTGGCTCTCTAGTCTCTTTTGAGGAATTCTTTTCTGTTTTAGTCCCATAAATGTTAGTGTTGTCCAGTGTTTTATCCTTAGCACTTCTCATTTCTTCATTCCTCCAGCTGAGTGATCTATTTTTTTTTTGTTTATTCATTTGTCAATATTTATTGAACATATACTATCAGGGGTGTCCAACCTTTTGGTGTCTCTGGGCCACACTGGAAGAAGAGTTGCCTTGGGCCACTTATCAAATATGTAAACACTAATGAAAACTGATGAGCAAAAAATTAGGTTTTAAGTAAATTTATGATTTTGTGTTGGGCCTGTTCATAGCCATCCAGGCCGCATGCAGCCTGCAGGCTGTGGGTTGGACACCCCCGTGTGATAGGTGCTATGCTAGGTGCTAGGGAAATTGTGATGAACAAGACATATGTAGTGTCAGCATCATAGATCTTAGTCTATTCAGAGAAATGAATACTAACCAAATAATTACAGTCCCACAGCTTCATTCATCATCTTTTTGGTGATAACTCACAGGTTTATGTCTGCATCTTGCTTGATTACTAGGTAAATTATAGCCAGAACATCTACCTGAAAGTAAAAAAAAAAAAATCACTGCAATCACTTTGAGCTGTGGCATTTCACGAAGCAAGAGCACTGGGTCAGTAACTTTTAAAGGTTTCATTTGTTATTACCCCAAGTTTTAACCTGCCTATAAAATTATGGTATGCAGGAAGAATGCTATCTAAAAATCTGAGATTCTCATTTAGGCACTGTGACTAAGCCACTTTTGACCTAATTTTCTTCACTGAATCTTTGCTGTTAAATTAATTTTTAAAAATTAATAGAAAAATATGTATAAAAGAGCTATATTTCTTTATAGTTAAAATGGTAATAGAATGGAAATGAATTAGGATAACATATACCTTAGTCTTTCTACAATATTTCCAGTTTATATCTGTCATCTCAACAAAGTAGAAATAGCACCTCCTCACTTTCCAAATTGTCTTCATTTAGACGATAGATGACATGGTCACTCTAAAACCATTTTTCAAAGAAAACTATCTTTTTTCAAAGAAATATTTGTTATGATGCTATATTTTAAACATCCTATTTTTTTTACTACCTTACAGTCAAAGATTGATGGAGTACAAATATTTCTGGAATAAGACTCTTTCATTACTTACTTTTACTAAAAGGGAGATAACTAGTATCAAAAATGAAGTTTATGATCATTTTCAAAGCTGGACTTCACTGAAAGAAGAAGTTTGTCTCCAAATTAAATCCATAAGTGAAACAGCCTTGACAGGTTTGTTACATGTACATAGAATACAACCATCTTTTTTTCTTTGTAAATAGTACATTATAAGTAATAAAATGATACTTCATTTTATGTGGTGGGACTTATGATGAACTGAAGAGATATACAGATGGCAGATAAGCACACAAAAATGTTTAACATAATTAACTAATTAGGGAAATGCAAATTATGACCATAATAGAATGCTACTACATATCTATTAGAATGTCTAAAATTTTAATTGACCATACCAAGTATTAGCAAGGATTGGAGAAACTGGATCACTTAACATTGCTAGTAAGAATGTAAAGTAGTGTAGCCATTCTAGAAAATGGTTTTGTAATTTCTGTTGACACTGATTACGCACTTAGCACATGACCCATTAATTGTATTTTGGGCATTTATCCCAGAAATATGAAAACCTATGTTCATGCAAAAACCTGTACATAAATATTCATGGCAGCTTTATTTAAAATGGCCAGAAGTGGAAACAACCCAAATTTTCTTCAATGGATGACATAGGTACTGTGCTATACCTATACCATGGAATACTATTCAACAATAAAAAGAGAAAAGTATTAATACATGCTCAAGGGAATTATGCTCGGTGAAAAAAGCCAGTCTCAGGAAAATTCCATACTATACAAATCTATTTATATAGCATAGCATTCTTGAAATAACAACATTATAGAGTTGGAGAACAGATTAGTGGTTGCCAAGGATTCGGGATGGTATGGATAGGAGTAGGTACGGCTCTGAAAGGGTAACAGGAGGCAGCTTTGTGGTGGCAGGGCAATCCTGTATTTTGATTGTGTTGGTAGTTGCAGGAAGCTACCTATGTGATAAAACCCCAAACACACACACAAATGAGGGTGTTTATAACTGGTGAAATGTGGGTCAGCTCTGTGGATTGTACCAGCATCAGCTCCCTGGCTTTGTGGGTGCACTGTAGTTACATGAAACGTCAGCATGGGGCTGGGTGGCGTGAAAGCATCATGGGGCTGCCCTACACGTTTCTTTGCAACTTCTTATAAATCTGTAAGTGTTTCAAACTACAAACTTTAAAAAAAAATCTACATATACATAGTGTTTTATGATCCCATTTTATTAATTAAATTCAGTCTCTGAGGCTTTTTTAATATTAGTGTAATAAAACCATATAAAGTCATGTGAATTTATGGTCACTCACTCTTTGTAACATCAGTGTGCCTTGTCAATAAGGTTACAGAGGTTTCCTGAAAACATAAGCACCTAAAATAACTTTAAGTTCATTTGAGTAAGCTAATAGGACTAACAACAGGAATTATCTTATCCAGGCAAAGAAATTGATTATTTGAGGTTAATATTAATAATTGTACTTGCATTGGCTAGCAAATTATGTTACACATTTTATTTTATTTTTCATTTTTAAAAGATTTTATTTTCATAGTTGTTCAAGTACAGTTTTCTGTCCTTTACTTGCTTCCCAGCCCACTCACCCATTCCTCCCCACCTCTGTCCCATTTGCACCCCCCTAGTTTGTCCTTTATGTTTATATAACACTTTTTAACAACTAAAAACACCACTAGCCTGGCATTAAATTTTGCCAATATTATAAAAATTTCAAATAACAAATACTATTTGTATTTGTATTACAAATACAAATACTTCCTTTAAAAATACCAGCTTTTGTTTTGATCTACATGGATTATGTCCTTACGTTGTGAGTTGACACTACGTGGCATAGTGCTTCAGTGGAAAAGTTGGTGTGAAACAAAACTTGAAACATTTTTATAAGAAGTAAAATAAACTACCAATTCCTCTACCCTCACACAATTGTTTTTATGTTTCCATTCGATCTTCTAGTCCTCCACGTGTTCATCTGTTTTTACATATTTTTAATTACAATGTAAATTTCAATGTGTATTCTAAAATGTATTGTTATTGGCTGAATTATGCCCCTCAAATTCCCATGTTGAAGTTCTAACTTCTAGTCCCTCACAATACAACTTTATTGGAGTTAGGGTCCTTAAAGTAGTTATTAAATTTAAATGAGTGGGCTTTAATCCAGTGTGACTAGTGTCCTTGTGAGAAGAGGAAATTTGGAAACAGGCACATACAGAGGGAAGTTGATGAAGAAGAGAGGGGAAAATGACTATCTGTAAGCCATGTAAAGAGGCTTGGAACAGATCGTCAATTTGGCCCTCAGAAGAAACCAACCCAGCTAACACCGTGATCTCAGACTTCTAGCCTTCAGAACTGTGAGAAAATAGATTTCTGTTGGTTAAGCCACCAGAGTTAATAAAAAATGAATAAGATAGCTTCTGACTTAAAACAACATAGTCCAATTGGAGAGGACATGTCTGCTCATGATAGAAATGGCCAAAATTGGTGTGAGTTCCAGGAAGATCAAGACCACTTCCAAATCCGTCAGAAAAGATTTCCAGGCAGGTAGCATGTGAGCTGTGGTCATCCTAGTGTTTGAGGTTAGGAGACCTTTCTTCTGAAACAGGGTCATGCTGAAACAGAGAAAATACAAGTGGGATGAGTGACCAGAATAGGTTGGTCTCATGGAGATCATACTTTCTGAAACCTAAATTGGGACACATGACCGACAAGCATGAAACTGTGTTAATGATGAAGAAGGGATTGAGTATTTGACACCAGGATTGCCATAGGCATATGTAATTTGTTGTGGGTGAGTTAATTTACCTCCCTTGAGTACACTCTCTTAATTTAACATTAGGAACATTGAAGCTCCTGTTAGTTTTGAAATCTTGCTGTACTTTTCCCTGTGTTTGGATATATTTGACAAATGCGTCTGTATTGCAGATTCTTATTCTTTTAATGTCAGATAGAAAGTCATGTTGACACGAGCAGTTATTTTAGAGGCAGTCAGCAGTGCACACTAGCAGAGTCAGCCTGCTAACCGAAGCAGTGTGGTTCTGGCAAACACAGCACGCGCTCCTCTGCCGTGTCATTCTGACTTAGGCGTAGACAGGTGCAGTGAGAGCGCAGCGCACTTCACCCAGTCACAGGACACTACCTTTATGGCTACAAAAATACCCTTGTATTTTAATAATACAGAGAATAATAATATTTAGTATTTTAATAATAAGAGAAATAATTTCTCTTGTTAGGTCTCAAGAGAAATTACACTGCTTTTCTTTTTAAAGCTTTATGTACCAGTGTGTTAGTTTTCCTCACACAAATGAGTGTGTATCCATAAGTCTTTAGAAGCATATAGCTATTCTTAGGAAAAATGTCTGTGTAATTGTTGGAATATGGTGGACCCGAATTACTTTGGTCTCGTTGATTTATTTCACCAGATTTTCTAATTTGGGTAGGAATTAAAAGTGAAGAAGGTGCTGGACCCTTTGTGCTCATGATCTAGGTCTGTCTTACGTGCCACTTTTTCTTCTAGACAAACGTTTTTCCCCAAAGAAAGACATTTAATGGCTTTTCTCTCCTTGGACCATGTTCTTGATGCTACTCAAACCCACCCTGTAAGACATGCCCTTGTCCCTGTGCCCTGTTCTGGCATACTGCTATACTTCTCCTTGATTTACTGGCCATATTTCCTGCCATGTCTGTCCTCCTAATCTCTGTTTCTGGTCTTCACTGGCCCATGTGGCTGCTATTTTTGCTGTAGTGGCTCTAAGACCAATTAACCAAGCCAACCTCCTTTAGCATCTAATCACATGCTACACCCTTCCCATGGCCCAGAGTGACCTGGGCGAGGAAAGGAATGCCAAGTGAACTCTCTGGACAAGCAGGCTGTCCAGATTTTCATGTGCTCATCATTTCAATTAACTGTGGTTGTACAAAGTTTGTAGTATTTTATTATTGTGTGTCTTTGTATATTTCAATACAGTGGTTTAAGGCAGCAGTGCTCAAAAGGCTGAGGAAGGGAGAACTTGATAATTATCATTCTGAAGGATAACATGCTCCATGCATTTTTCATGAAATTATATAAAATTAGTACATGTAAACCTACATAATGCTGTGAAGAGATTTTTTAAAATTAAACTTAATCTAGGTAGATAGAATAATGACAAATGATTGCTACGATGAAATTTTGGTCTCATTTTGAGGGGGCAGAATATTATTAAAAACATTACGATATATTAACTAATACTTTATGTCTGTAAATTCATTACTTTTAGACACTGCCTCCTTTTATTCCTCTCCACGCCTACTACCTTTTTTCATAACTAATGTATGAATTTATAAATTCATATATTTATATTTAAATTTACTTTTTCTGAATTATGTTACCAAGAAAACAATTTCATTTCAGTACAACCCAGAACATTATAGAGATAAGTTATTCATTTATGTGAGTATTTAAAAAGCAGTCTTGATTGTCATTTAATACCATTTAAAGGCAAAAATGAAAACAAAGAAAACCTCTAAAAGGTATCATGCCCAGTTTAGCAATACAAATCTTTTTCTCATTTCTTTCGCAGAATAACCACTAAATTTAAATTTAACCTTTTGGTTCAGTGTCACCACACTCTCAGGAAATTCATCTTGGCTTTCAACTATTAATTTTCTAAAAGAAAATAATCAGTTTTTGAAAATCGTTTTATGGTTAGATGTTGTCTATTTGTAAACTTTGAATTTTCTTTACAGAAATAGAGATACTGAATAAAAGTTTGTCAGTGTCTCAGAGAAATAAGGTATGCCTTGAAGAGGAAATGAAAAATCTGAAGTTGTTGTCAGATGCAGCTATACTGAGGTCTCAGCAGATTCAAACATCTAAACAACAGGAAGTAAACTTGCAAACCAGATGCCATGACCTGCAAAAAGAAGTACTAGGTAAAAAAGATTTTTCTTTTGTGATTGTTAGCAACCACCCATAATAAGTATATAAATTTTTATTTCTTTTAAAATCACAACAATCTTTTGATTACCTTGTGTTGCAAATATACCTAATTATTAGTAACTGTCAATAACTATAATCAATTCACTATTATCCCTTCCTATTCTGCCATTTAGACTGGTAAGACTAGTGGAGATACTAAAGATATTTTAAGTACAAAATAAGATTTCAGGAAAACAAAGTGGAATTTACTTTAGTATATCATTATCCCAGTGGATTGGTAGTTTAGTGTACTGAAGGAAAATGCAGCATATGCTGTTAATAAAGTGAATCCACATTTTTATGCACTCTTTCATTTTCCCAAATGAAAAGATTAAAACTGTGTTTTAGGTACCTTGTTTCTCTCTACCTCAGAGAATAAATATCTTGGCAGTAAGGCTATGGAATATGCATGTTTTCCTGAAGGCGATATGGAATCACTGAAAATTGATAATCATGAAAATGATACAATAAAAATAGTGTTTTAGCAAAATTAAGTTGTTAGCAATGAATAGAGGTGCTCCAAACATCAGGTGTTTGGAGCCAGATACTACTATGAAAATACCTTTACTGGTAACCCAGCCCCTAGACTAACCATAAGATACCAAAGTAGGGAGGGGAACTAACAGTTTTAAGGACCTAATGTGTATTGGACACCATGCTAGAAATGTATATAAGTGAGAGAAACTGGTATTAGAAGAGAAGATAAGGAGTCATCACATGAGTCTGGAAGCAGTATGAAACCAGGTTTACATTTTAAAATCGCATTTTAAAATTTTCTCTTCTTTGAATTAGCTTTTCATATTTACCAATTTTCAGTTGCATTATTGGAATTTTCCTTGGTAATTTTTTAGAGCAATTTATACAGTAGAGTATTTATCTTCTATATTAACTTTTTCCTAATGTATAATTTGTCATTGATTTTTATGGTAAATTTCACCATATCAAAGATTTTAATTTTGGTATAATCAAATTACTATCTTATATTGTTTCTGGCTTGTCTTAGTTAAAACAGTCCCTCTCATCCTTAGATAATAGTCTGGATTTTCTTTCCTTTGATTCATTAATGCATATGGAATTTATTTTTTATATGGTATGAAATATGGGGGTTCCGTTTTACTCTTTTAATATGGATAGACAGAGTTGTATCAGTATTGCATATTAAATACTTATGCTTTTCCCATGAAATAGAACTACTACCTGTAATATGTTAAAATTTTACATATACTACTATTACAATATTCTTTCTTCTTTTCACTAATTTATTTGAAGTAATAAATATCATTCATTTGAATATAATGACTTAATGGCATATTCTCCTGGCTGATTAAGTCTTTTCTCTCTCTGGTTTTCTTACTTAGAAAATATGTGTTTGCAGATATTATTCTATTTGAACATTATGGTCATTTATTTACCTCTAATCCAAAGGCTCTGATGTATACCTAGTAAGTTTTTCTCCTCAAGTCTTTACATTGTTTTTACATATTTACAGGCAGTTATTTTTCTGCATAAACTTTAAGATAATTTTATTTATTTCCAATAGGGATTCTAACTGGACTTGCATTGTATTTATGTACTAACTTTTGGAGAATTGACATTTTTAGTGACATTAACTCTTCTTTATATTATAAAAGCCTTTTCATTGAAGAATAATGTCTTCACTTCTAAAAATGTTGTGCTTTATGTTTTTTAATGCATTTTACAGTTTTATTTAAATGTTTATCATTCTTGTTAAATTTAAGACTATTATTTTCAGCTACTGTGAAAGGATTATTTTCTCTTTTGTTTTCTTGATATTTGTTAATAGGATAGAGAAAGGCTATTGATTTTTGTATATTTGTCTTATACACATAAACTTTACAAAATTCTCATATTAATTCTAGCAGTTTTTTATTAAGTGTGTCTAGGATTTTCTAGTTATACAGTTAAATCACCAGCCCCCATTCCCTCCAAAAAGGAGTTTATCCATTCTTTCCCAATGTTTACATCTGTTATTTTTCTTGTCTTGTCCATATCTTAATTAAGTTTGTTTGAATCTCTGAGACTGTGTTAAACAATAATTATGCCAGTGGGCTTCCATGTCTACTTCCTGATATTAGTTAAAATAATTTGATGTTTTTCCAGTTGGAATTATATCCAATGTTTGGGTTTTAGTAAATAATCATTATTTTTTAATTAAATATTTTCCTTCTATCCCAATTTTACTTGGATATTTTATTAGAAATGCCTTTGAGTTTTGCTAAATGCCTTTTCAGCATCCATTGATATAATAGTATGATTTTTTTTCCTCTTTAACCAACTGGTAAAATGGATTAGTATTACTAAATTTCCTAATAATAAAGCACATTTGCTTTCATGGAATAAACCCTACCTCATCTACTTTTTTAAAAAATGTATTTCTTTTTTAAAAAGATTTTATTTATTTATTTTTAGAGAGGGAAGGGAGGGAGAAAGAGAGAGAGAGAGAAACATCAATGTGCAGTTGCTAGGGGCCGTGGCCTGCAACCCAGGCATGTGCCCTGACTGGGAATCGAGCCAGCGACCCTTTGGTTCACAGGCTGGCACTCAGTCCACTGAACCATGCAAGCCAGGGTTAACTTTCAGTTATTCTGATTAAATAATGTAACATAATATTTCTTTGAATCTGTAAACTTTTTTATGTTGAATACATAACAAGTTTTGTAAGTATTTCTTAGAAATACAAAATAAAATATAATTCTCAACTTGATGGATGTAATGGTGTCTTAGGTGGGAGTAGGATTCTTAGGGGTTGTTTTTTCCTCTCAGTGGACTGTAGATGCTGATGCTTTGATTTCTAGCTTTTAGTGTTGTGAATAAGTCTACTGCAGATCTGATTTCTTTTTCTTTTAAAGATAACTCTTTCTTTTACCTGGAAACTTGTTAGACTTGTCTATTTCTTGTTTTGCTTTATTTTGTCTATTTTTATTGGACCTCAGGAACGTTCAGTTGGATCACTCATAGTGCTTGGTTTATGGCAGGTATGCGTGGACTATGACTTTATACCTGTATACAATGTTGAGTAGAATCATGATAGTTGCATCCTTGTAAAATTTACAGTTTTACAAAAGCACGCTTTAACTTTTGGGTATAAGCAGAAATTATAATGAATGTAAAATATCTAGAATTGAATGATACTAAAAATGGCATATAACAAAATTTGTTGGATGCAGCCAAAGTGATTCTTTGAGGGATATATATAGCCCTACATACTTTTAAGAAGGAAAGAATAAACTCAAAGAACATAGAAAAATATATAATAAAAACAAGAGCCTCAGTCAATGACATAGAAAACAAAGATACAATAAATAGCAACAAAAAACTGATGTTTATAAACCAACAAAATAGACAAACCTCTAGCAAGTTTGATCAAGAAAAGAGAGAAGACACAAATGAAAATATATGAAAAAATAGTAGTGACAACAAATAAAGAGTAAAAGGAAGTGGGTCTTGTTAACAACCTTATGCCAACAAATTTCAAGTGGGCTATTGTTAGAAAAATATATCTATCAAGACTTACTCAAGAAAATTAAATGACCTTATAACTATAAAGAAATTGAAGCAATGTCTCCTTACACAGAAAAGGCCAGATGGTTTTATAAGCAAGTTCAACCAACATTCAAGGAATAGAGAATCCTAATTTTATAAAGCATTTTCTAAACAGCAGAAAATTGAGAAATATTTTCAAAATTATTCTACAATGGCAAGATAATCCTGTTACAAAAATCAAAGTAATAAAAGAAAGAAATATTATGGACCTATTTATATTATGAATAATAATATAATAATTTTCAACTATGTATTTGATTTTTTAAAAAGTATTTTTAAAATTTTTTATTGTATTTTTTCCATTACCCTTTAGTCCCCTTATACCTGCTTCCCCCTTTCAATCACCACACTGTTGTCCGTGTCCATGGTTCTTTTTCCTTTTCACTCAATCCCTCCACCCGCTAACCAAACTCTGCCCCTTAGTTGTCATCCTGCTCTGAATCTGAGTCTGTCTCTGCTTTGCTTGTTCAGTTTGTTCAGTAGATTCCACATATGAGTAAAATCATATGATATTTGTCTTCTCGGAGTGGCTTATTTCACTTAGCATAATGTTCTCCAGGTGCATCCATACTGTCACAAAGGGTACAATTTTCTTTTTTACAGCTGATTAGTGTTCCATTGTGTAAATATCCCATAGTTGTTTAATCCACACATCTACTGATGGACACTTGGGCTGCTTCCACATCTTGGCCACTGTAAATAACACTGCAGTGAACTTACCTATTTATAAAATTAAGTAAAATTATGCATAAAATAAAACTCTGAAATGCCATGCTATTTATTTTAGACTTAATTAGAGGAAAACAAATTTAGAACATTTGCTAAAATATGCATTTCACAGTAAAAAATAATTTTCCCCAAAATGTAACTTTTCCCAAATCAAAGATGATTATTATTGTCTTTTATTTCATCCTTTTAGTCTGACTTATAAGTGGTTTTCTTGAATATTTTAGGTTCTTAGAACAGTAAAACATTAGAGAGCATGGTATCTTATATAGCATATAACAGGTAGTTAAGGCTTAAGTAATAACCATTCCATATTTGGAAAAAGAAGTGATTTGTGGGAGCAAACAAGAAGAAAAGAAAGAACATTTTCACTACCTGGGAACACTCTCTATGAGTCTATTGACTGGCAGTAAGCATTTGATTAGTTTTCCCTCATCTAACCCTCACAATATCCTAATGTGGAAACTTTTGTTTTACCTTCATCAAGCATAGAGAAGTAGGTTGTGGTCACACTGCTGAGATTCAAATGTAGGTCTTTGGTAGGCCAGCGTTTTTGTTAGCTTATTACCTCAGTCAATTCCAGAAAGGCACATAAAAACACTAACTCTTTTCCTTAAAGAGAGAGAGAGAGCGCACGCGAGAGAGATCTTTCCTCTTCTAACAG